CCTGCCTTTTCGACCTCACCTATCTATCACCTCTCATTGGTACCCTGCCAGTACCGATAGCGCAGGCGACCTTACCATGCCATTTTCACTAATTAAAAAAAAAAACAAAATATGGCAACGTCACAATTATCTGTCAAATTTCAGGAACAGATATCAAAGCACTTTTTAAATAATCAATCAGAAACATAAAAAAATTATGATATTGTTTTCGAAAATTGATAAATAATCGTGATATTATTACACTTCGTCAAGCTAACGTTGCGAACGCTCTTAATCATATTTAGACCTTTAGTTAGTGTCCGACCGATCTTTCAGTTTCGGCCTAATTTTGGCCAAAAAAACGGGTTTTATTTCATTTTCGGTATCGATTGCCATCTAGCCGAAACCACGGCCGAAACCTAAAATATTCGAGTGATTTCGTGCTGCGATCGAACGTGCTCGGTGCACTGAGCTACGAGCGACGAAGTATCATTTTGCCTTTATCTGTATATTTTATGTTATTCGTAAATAATATAAAAAAATAGTAAAGTACAAATACTTTATTTCAAATAAAGTGTGATAATATGTTATATTAATGATTAGTTCAAATATCAGAGACTAAATAAAGACTGGCTGATTGTGATTGGCTATTTATTTTTCTTTCCACAAAAATATGATCATATATGAAAGTTTTGGTTTCGGTTCCAACCGTATAAAGTAGTTTTGGTCAGATACTATCCTGAGGTCATTCACTGGCTTTACAGACCGCGCAAACTTTATAGGTACGTTTATTTGTTAATATTCTCATGTGTACAGACAGTCAGTCAATCGAAAATGAAATTTGAGGACAAAATAATTAAATTTCTCACTATATTCACAGAGTTTAGCTAATTTAAATTGTAAATCGGAGCGTACACTTATTGAATGCCACATAATTGGCAAAATGAAATTTATTTTCTCCTCTAACTAAATCTAATTACTTGATTCACACACAATTGTTACTTTGAATAAACATGTTTAAAATAACTTTATTCATCGATCAAAACATTGGGTTATCTATTTATAACATGCAGTAACGGACGTGTCAGTCATCTGCTAACAATACCTGCAGCCACTTACAGGTATGTGCGTCCTTTTTTTTTAATGGGTAATAATGGAATGGTAACCCCGCCTAACTATCAATTATAGGGGGGAAAGGGATTGTTAACAATGGAGTTTGACAGCCCCATTGCTAGCAATATGTCCTATTAAGTTGACCTCAACATGGTTCCCCTTGGAAATTCTTGTTGAATTCATCACGATGGGCTAACTGACCTGCTTCATCCTCACCTCTCATCCTTCACTGGTGCCCCGCCGGTTTATACCGATAGCACGGGTGGGGTTACCATTCCATTAAAAAAAACTACCAATAATAAATACATATTTTTTTATTAATAAATATTAGGTGTATTCCGTATAATAATTGCATTAAAGGTTATTTTATTTATATCTATGTATATACGAAAATCGAAGCATGTATTCAACTCGCGCTTGACCGTTTATTTTTTATTAGATACACTTATTTTCCGTCACATTCCTAAAGTTTAATATTCCAGTAGCATTTGTCTATGGTGTAAAATGAAAAAAGTTTTATAGCGGCTGCTGGAAAAAAAGTATAAAAACCTTCGAAGTAAAATGATTGTAGCGCAATGTTTTTGCACACTGAAGTGCGGGTACTTGAACGTCTTCCGCTGCTATAACGACCGCCCAGGACACTTCAGACGGAACTCTTATCTCGACAAATAACACGAATAATACAGAGCTATAATTACTTGCTCACTATAAGGGCGAGGGTCCCTTTTAAAACATTACTAAATGCCTAACTGCGGTTGCCAACCTGCATACCAAGCGTGGCGACTACTGGAAAAACTTCCCTTCTGGGGAAGCCAATTGTTCAGCAATGAGCAATTAAGATAAGATCCTGATTGGTGGCCGCGTGATAAGCTTGGTCATTAAGTTCTCTAAAACATGGTTGAGTGCAATGATGATTGACACATCCGTCATACTCGTGAACGGATGCTGCTTGTGAGGACTGATTTGCTCATATTTGCTTGTTTATTTCCCATTTAATACATACGTATACGTATACGTAGAGTTGTACGATGTTGTCTGTACGCTAAGAAATTTTAAAATTGTTGACATAGGTACATTTATATGCTTAGTGCACTGACATCGCTAGTTTTTTTTTTTTTTTTTTTATATACCACTGAGGTGGCAATCTTACCTACCTTAATACGACCTACCTGATGGTAAGTGGTTACCATAGCCAATTAGCTATTGCAATAGCAGGAGTATTACGCGCGCGTTACCGACCCTGAAGAAACCACTTTACCCCTTTTTGAAGGACGCCATGTCTCTTAGAAAAACCTCGGCAGGGAGCTTATTCCATACGCTAAGTGTTCGTAAGAGTACGCGACCATTTAGTTATAAAAAAAAAATGTAAAATATATTATTGTTTATGGTAAGAGGAAACATTTTTTCTTGGTTTTTAGTCTTGGTTAACAAATTTGTAATAGTAATGAAAATAAACGGTATAAAAGTAATTAGCAAGTTTAATTAAAGATAAATAATAGTAAGATAACAAAACTACGCAATGGGTTTTAATTCGGTTTTCTTTAATAGATAAAGTGATTCAAGAGGAATGTTTATACGTACAATTTAACATTTTTTGTGTTAATATGTTGCAATATGACAATAATGAGACCTTTCATCGAATATATATATATATATATCATCATATATTATATAATAATATGAAGTATGATGGAATTGTTACTTTTTATAAGAACAACAAAAAAGTCAGCGTTAGAATTATATATTACACAGATAGTTTTCTATAACTATTTTCATGTTTTAAAAATTTTATACAAACTATGTGGAGTTTAAAAAGCTCTATGGACGAATATAATAGTAATATTAATCACTCCACACAAACATCACATTGTTTCAGCATTGTATCCATGCAAAACCGGGGCGGTTCGCTAGTTAATTGTGTGTAATAAAATGTGTGTATGTAATATGGAGAAAAAAGTAGGTTACTTTTAATCCCAGTCACGCAAAAGAAATTGATCCATGAGGAAAACGGAACAAAATTAATATAACTCCGGTCATCCCCTGTCATACCAAACATGTATAAACCCAATACTAAGACCCTATCATATAACTACCGATTATAAAAAAAATCATTAAAATTGCTTCTAAATTACCGAAAATATCCCGTATTTACAATTTTACAAAAATATTTACAAAAATATAATGTAACAAAAATGTAGTGTTACTTATTGAATTTATTTATTTTGATACAAACGAGTACTTTTAATTAATTACTATTTAATTTTTATTTTAACAATGATTCAAACTAGATATCCTATTGCTGATTGTAGGATAGGAAAGGATCTGCTGATACAGTGCCTGGTGATTAAAGTCAATATATAGCATTGTACATATATTGGTCCAATAACGAATATATTAAATACCGGTTATAAAATATATAATTTTGAAACAAAAAAAAAAACCTGATTGAAATGAATGTAGATATTCGATTGATATGTGCGATATCGAAATGGGTAATGACTTTTTGCTGTCATTACAATTCTTCTAACGGTATGAATTTGGGGGGAAAGGGATTGTTAGTAATGAAGACTGAGAATTCCATTGCTAGTAATTTTTTGTCATATTGGTATGTCAATAACAAATTTTACATTATTAGGTTATATATTCGACACAGTTTATGTAGAAAGTATGCAAGTAGGTTGATAGTTAGATGTGCATAATATCTGAGCTCTGACTTCTAAACGTAGGTATCTACGATCTATATTTTAGAAGCCAGTTCTTGAAAAATTTTGTAAAAAGTATCACAATTTGACAAAACAAAGGACATAAAGTAGAGGCATGTATATTATATAAATTACTAAGGTAAATTATTATAAAGATAAAAAAAAGAAATAAAACACTTAGCTGACTATGTAAACATAACAGATCATCTCATAAAGTTGTGTAAGTATGTGTGTTATTTATAATATATATGTATGTGTACACATATAAATTTCAATCATTATTTATATCATTAGATAAATTCATACCGTTTTTTTTTTTTGCTGGGTTAAAATGGTATGGTAACCCCGCCTGCGCTAACGGGATATGCTGGCGGAGCACCTGTGAAGGATGATAGATGAGAATGAAAACAGGCCAGTTAGCCCATCATGATGAATCCATTAGGAATTAACCATGATAGTTTCCAGGGAGAACCGCGAGGAGGTCGACCTGGTTGGGTATATTGCTAGCAATGGGATTCTCAGTCTCCATTACTAACAATCCCTTTCTCCCCCGTTACCACGCTTGACAGGCGGTTGGCTTAACCTGGAATAATAATAATATGTAATTTGATATTTTCGCAAAATGAGTATTTTCTGGACTACAATAAACTAAAATTTTAATAATTTTGACTTAAGTCTATTGAAAATTAGTTCATATTGGTTCTTACAATAGAGATTTCGCTGTAAAATTGTGCCTCACGTTCAACTCGAATATGGCAATAATAAAATCAACTGTCAATGCAATGTCTGTCAAAAAGTATTGCAGATTAGGCTATATGGCTTTGTTTATTTGTCTTTCCCATTGAGGATAAATTAATACTACTATTACTACTGTATTGAATTGGAGGAGTGAGGAGGAGAGGAATTGTTAGTAATGCGGACTACCAATATAAACATTTTGTTCACTACTGTGAACAAAATGTGTGTGTACCAGTCCCATTGCTAGTGTACTCTGGCAAGTCAACCTCTACGTCCCCATCGTAACGAAACCATCGTGCTAAATTCCAGGTGTATTCATCACGATGGGGTGACTGATGAACCTTTTCATTCTCAACTACCATCCCTCACTGGTATTATAATACCGTTAGGACAGGTGGGGTTACCATTACATTATCATCCATAAAAAAAAAAACTACTACTGTCAGTTGTACTAAAATGTCAACTTCAAAATTCAATTTGTCAAAGTCGCGTGGACGATTGATAATATATAATATCTTGTATTTGTAATCTCCTTTTTATTATTTATTTCATACTAATAAAATATTGTTTCGTAAAAAAAATACTTATTGAAATTAGTTTATAATGATTTTCGATAAATAACAACATTATTTTTGTTAACTTTTATTTCAACCCGTAATTTTAAATCTATAATGGCTTTCATAATAGATGGTGAGGATAACCTAAAAACTGAAGAACATGATGAAGAGAAATTGTTTATCATAGGTTGGTTTTTATTATATTTTCTTGTTTTTGAAAAAGTTACATAAATTAACTACATGTGTTACGTGAATAAGTTCGATATTAAAGCATTGTTTCCTTCCAAAACCTTTAGAAGCTGTTTAAGTTTTTAGTTCTGTTGACTTGTTAATAATTTTATGGTTATTAATAAGCAAGCAACCATTCTCAACTTTAGTATCATAGTCGAAAATAATTACATAGCTAAAAATAACACAGATGAGTTGAAATAAAGATGTTCTTAATTGTATGTTTCATTATTTTATCTATTATGTTTACCAATATAGCTAAACTATTTTTATTTATTCTTAGTTTGCCTTGTCCCATATTAAGATTACAACTAAAGTTACAATGTTTTTGCATAACAATATATTGCATTTTATATGTATCATACATAATCCGAAAGCAAAATAATAATTAAACTTATTATTTTGTTAATATATATATATATATATATATATATATATATATATATATATATATATATATATATATATATATATATATATATAATGATAAACAACAAGCGATTCTTGAATTATTTGAAAAGCAGAAGCAAATATTAGACACACAAGCAGCAGCTGAAGAGGAAGTTCAAAACAAACTGAAGGGTTTAAAAATTGATAATTTATTTGATGATTTTTTCAATGAAATGCATTGGACTAGTACTGTTGCGATTAAAAAAGAGAAAAAAGTCAAATTTCATTTTGAGCAGTTAGATATTGAGAGTGGCAAGCTGAAATCTGACCTTGGTAAAGTAGATATAGAAAAAGAAATGCAAAGTTCAGTTTTAAAACCTGGCATAGAGAAAGAACACAGTCTACCAAAATATGATATGAGTGAAAGAGCACTGAAAGCATTACGTAAGGTAAGCAGGCATAATAAACATGAAATTTACTTACTTTGCATAGATAAATAAGGCAAATTAAAAAAAAATGAAAGCTACTTAACTAACTATCATCTTATTGTGATGTCCCTTCTCTAATGAATTCTTTTTATAACTTATTTTTTTTTATACATTAGAAAGAAAGACAGAAGACCAAAGGTCCAGAATGGTTCAATCTACCGGCTCCTGAGATAAGAGAAGAATTGAAGAATGACCTACAAGTACTCAAAATGAGATCGGCATTAGATCCCAAACACTTCTACAAGAAGAATGATATGGAAGTATTACCTAAATATTTCCAAGTAAGTATATTTAAAAAAAAAGAGAATGTATAATAATCATTTTACAAAATATTTACAATTTTACACATTTTATCATAATCATCAAACATATTTTACATTTAATTACTTGTCAATTTAAAAATGTTAACATACTCTATTAAAATAGGCTTTGTCTATATAATTTAAGGAAATAGATTTATAAAAATGATGCAGTGATGCCTCTGAATGTGCCAATTGCCATCAGCAGTTACATAATGTCCTTTATACATTATCAATAAAAATAAAGTAATAATATACCCATATTACACCATAATATGCCATATTGTCCTGGCATACAATGGGTCAACCCCTTCTTTCCCATGGGCAACTAAGAGTTGATGATTGAGAGATGGTCAACAGCATCCCTCTTAAAACATCACCAAATCCTAACTGCGGTTGCTAACTCACCTGCCAAACATGACAACAACTGGCAATGAGAAAGATCTATGTTGAGCAGTGGACAGGTAACAGCTGATATAATAAAAATAGGTTTCTATGTCTTAATTTTTATGTATAAAACTGAAAATCTATACAAAATATATTGACAGTCATGGAATCACAGATTTAATTGTCATCGTCAGTGGCTGCAATGTTTGCTTATCCTAACCCAACAATATACTATCATATTTGTTATAATCATATTCTTAATGAACAGAAAAAATATATGTAATATATGATGATGATAATTTTAGTTATAATAATCTGTTTACCTATATTTAGCTTCTTCCTGCCCATTTCTTATATTTGGAGTTAGCATAATATATTTTCTTCTTCCATGCATCTTTATTTCTGCTCATTTTATTAATCACTCCCTTTCTGTCCATGCTATTTTTCATACGGTACATCTATCTCTTTTTGGGTCTTCCTTTGCAAAGTGCAAATTTTAAAGTAGTATAAGTACTTTCAAAATTCCTCTTGTATACTCATTCTTGATCTTATCCATTCTTGTCACACCATACATCCATCTCAACATTCACAACTCAATTGTTTAAAGTCATCTTTCATCCATCAAAGTGATGCCATACTTAGTAAATTTAATATACAATCTTCATCTCATATAAAAATAAAAAAATCGTAATTAAGATTGTGCTCTACAAAAAACCCCACTTCAATTGGCAACCAGTTATGTGGATTTTAAAACTAAATTATTGAACTGTTTAATAAAATTTCTATAGGACTACTCTATAAGTATATACTTTCAAATAAAAAAAAGTTTTCCGAATTGTTTTACAACTGATGTGGTTATGAAGTAGCAAACAAAAGAAAAACAACAAAATTGAAAAATAAATAGTATTTATAATCAGTTAACCAATATAATTAATTTATCAGAGGGAGACTTTGTACAAAAGTTCTTTGCTTGGGTACCTCTGTCCCATTCGTGTTTCAACCGTGAAGCAGTTATTTTTCATGGCTATGTTTCAGTTTTAAGGGTGGGATATGGCGTGAATTTACTGAGTACAGAGGAGTAACACCTAAATCCTAAGGAATGGCAACGCGTGGGAGGTATCATGGATGAAACAGTATAATCTGTTATGTCCATGGTACTGCTCATGTCTATAGGTGACGGTTACCACTTTCCATCAGGTGGGCTGTCAGCTTGTTTGCCATTCTAAGTTGTATAAAAAAAAATTATAAAAAATTGTTAAGGACTTGTTAAGTCACCACAATCTTGACATATGCCTCTTAATACACCTTTTGTGGTTACACTCATACTAAATTTGTAGTAAAATGTACTATCAATTGTGCTATATTAAATTTTAATTAACATTTATTTTCAGGTTGGCAGAATAATGGATTCACCCTTAGACCATGTTAATGAGAGATTAACCAAGAAACAGAGGAAAAGGACCATGGTTGATGAGTTGTTGGCTGATGCAGAGTTCCAGAAGTACAACAAGAAGAAATATAAGGAAATTATAGAAGAAAAGAGAAAATCAGAATATAGAACCTTCATGAAGGATAAAAGACAAAAGAACAAAGCAGAACTAAAGAAGAATAAATTAAAAGCAAAGAAAAAGGTGCAGAGTTAGCAAATAAATAAATTTATTTTATAATATTTTTTTTTGTTAAATTTTTTTTTATTTTTTAATAACCGAATCGCTTTTGTCTTTGTCAAATTAAAATCTTTTAATGAAACTGGAGTTAAAACCTATTATAAGAAAAAATCTAATATAAAAATAAGGGAAGACAGAAAATTTTAAAAGAAATAAAAAAACATGATTTCATATAATATTTTTATTAAGTAAACACCATAAAATGTGCAAATATAACAACCATGTCCAAAAACATTTATTAAAAATATCACAGGGGCAGGAAGACAGAATTATGTTAACCAATGCATTTATTAAACATGCCTGCCCAATGGTAAAGTCATTTTATAACATTAAAAGATTTATGTTCTTATTTTATTCAAGCAAATATAGGTCATATTTTTATGTGATCTTAAAACTTTGTTATTTTTATTGTGCATGGCATAAATTTTCATCAAAAATATTAACAATCTTTGGTATACAATATTTTTTTACTACTGGGAATGACAAACAAGCTGATGGTCCACTCTTAGATTATGAAGTATTATATTATACTAAGTATATGGGTCCACTGATAAAATGTGACAATCAATGGCTATAGACAGCAACAACATATCTTAATTCCAGTCTAAATAACGCCTACCAGCCGTGCGCGTCTAGACAGCGCTTCGAATTGTCATTCAAGTGTCAAAAGTGTTAGACCACTAGTTGTAGCAAAATAAATTTATAACATACAAAAATATACAATACATTCTTTATTATACCTATTGAACACTGAACAATGAATTCAACTCTACCCTGTGTACTTAATTTTCCCTTAAAACGCAATAAAATGGCTCAAAATATTTCGTGCTTGACCTTTTTGGACCTTTTAAGTAATAAATATATAACCTCCATAATTTAATAAACACTTAGATTATGAGACTACTTAGAATCCTTAATCTAAAATTTTAACATAAAAAATCGTAATAGCACCATTGTGTGCACTGGTCCATGTAAGAATGGAGACTGGATAAATTGTGACTAGTATATCGGCTTTTGTTTTATAATATTAATGAATGTCGTAATTTTCATCCTGTACAAACAAGGGACTTTGTCCGCGGAAAAAAATTGTTCCATTTCCCAATATATAAACCACAGACCTTCATATGTTGTTATGGGAAATGTTATTCTATGTTTTATTGTAAAGGACTAAAAAGTACGCAGAGGATAATCCGTTGTCTGCGCAGATTCACGTAATACTAATATCCTCCTGTGACGTCGAGCGTAGCACCAGTAATGAAGGAACTTTTGTCCGAACCCAGGAATGCTATTACTTCAGCAACCTCTGAAATTAAATAAACATATATTTATATACTAGATGCTATTGGCAAAGGCAAACAAGCCAGGTATGATTTCAGATTAACTCTAACACAGTTTTATTTGTAAATAAATAATAATTCGTTCATTGCAACAACAGATATATCCAAACAAACGAGCTCTATAATATAGAAGAAGAAAAATATTTATTTAGATAAACTTTAAGTATGTTTAAATAGTGATCTTAACCTATATATACATAGACGACAATCCTGCATCACACACACTTGCAACCTCAGAGCCGATCGATCGTAATATTAAGATAGATAGTATCTCGACAATATTGAGACAGATCACCCACAGTTGAAGTTTGAGCAGCCCTGCTTTAAGACCAATTACTTATTATGCTATTGAATTCAAATAATAAAAAGATATTACACAACGCCATCTAGTGTCAAATGTAGCAGAGCACGTTCCGTTAGTACTACGAGAACAACTGGTATTTTTTTTTAATATATTAAACATAAATAACGCTCTGACCTTACAAAAACAGACATACATACCGATATTTGTAATGCGTGGGGATCAAACACAACAATAGGAAGATAAATCCATAGTCATAAAGTATGTTTGTTTGTTACCTCTTGGTGGTTTAACAGCTCAACAAATAATGATTAAATTTGCATATTTGTAATAGGTATTTGGGATGAAGAAAGGCATAGGATACATTTTATCTCGGTCATATCAATATATCCCAGTGACGCGGGCCAAGTGACATGTCAAAACTAATAGGTAATAATAATATGTATTTACCGATGGGATTGCCAATCCTTCCCAAAGGCACTAGCTTTAGGATGCCTTGCATAACCTTGTCAGGAACTGTTTTAATTATTGGCGTGTCTATAAAACCAGGCAGGATAACATTTACTCTGAAAACATAAAAATATTATTTATTTATTTTATTTATTTCTTATTACATTCCATGCGTTAGGTCTAATATGTTAGATTCCTAAATAAGGCCATCACACATTTATATCATATTGGATACACTGGGCCCGCGCCTTTTATACATATCATAACATATTCGGCGACTCAGACACTGCGCAACCACATCCCTTAAGAGCGATACTGGCCACATCACTTCAAAGTGAAACACAGCCATGTGAAGAGACACAAAAAAAAATTACATCACAATAAAAAAAAGCAATGAATTAAGTTAAGAATTTTTGTTTTTTTTTTAATATAAATGAGGCCACACTTAAATTTACATAATAACTACAAAGATGTTTCAATAAGCCATAGCACAGCTATTTGACGGCAGAAATGTACCAGAGGAATCGATGCAAACGACTTTAGTACGATGTTTGCTTCTTGTCAACTGATACAATAATTAAGAGTTTATTATATAATATGTATATAAATAAATAAACATAACATTTACCTTATATTAAACTTCCCCAATTCCTTAGCAGCTGACTGCGACATTCCAATCACCCCAGCTTTACTTCCAGCATAATTAGTTTGTCCTATTAAAAAAATAAATATTTGAATTTATGATAAATTTTAAAAAACTTTATTATAATATAATATTTTTTTTATACAACTTAGAATGGCAAACAAGCTGACGGCCCACCTGATGGAAATAGGTAACCGTCGCTTATAGACATGAGCAGTACCATGGACATAATAGAGTATACTGTTTCGCCCATGATACCCCCCATGTGTTGCTATTCCTGAGGACTCAGATGTTATTCCTCTGTACCCTGTAAATTCACGCCATATCCCACCCTTCAAACCGAAACACAGCCATGCAAACATAACTGCTTCACGGTAGAAACACGAATGGGACAGAGGTACCCAAGCAATGGACTTTTGTACAAAGTCTCCCTCTGGTATTAAGTAATAAATAATGTATCAATAAATTAAGATTTTTTTCACAAATACTATATACTTAATCGATTTTGATAGAATTTCTATGGGACCAGTTTAAAAGTATATTCTTCCATACAAAAAAAGAGTTTTCCAAATCGGCTTATAAATGACGGAATTATGAGGGAAAAACAACTAAATTCAGAACCTCTTTCTTTTTTAAAGTTGGTTGAGAAATATAAAAAAATAAAAGTTGATCTATTTATTATCCCACATAAATATGTTATACTAACTATATAAATATTAAATTATGGTTATCCTAAATGAGGAACTAAAAGGGTATATTACCAGTAATGAAACTAATACACATTTTTTTATGGGTGATAATGGAATGGTAACCCCGCCCGCGCTATCGGTATACACCGGCGGGGCACAAGTGAACTATGATAGGTGAGGATGAAGCAGGTCAGTTAGTCCATCGTGACGAATTCAACAAGAATTGTTCACGATGGTTTCCAGGGGGAACCATGTGGAGGTCGTCCTGATAGGGTGTATTGCTAGCAATGGGTTCATTAGACCCCATTACTAACAGTCCTTTCCCCCCCCCCCACTAATACACATTACCAACAATCACTCCCCCTCTAGCGTCATAGTGTTAACATGCTATTTTATTATGACCGATATAAAATACTTAAGTTTGGGATAAGAAACTCACATACTATAAAGCGAAAATGTCTTGCAGGTACACAACACCAAAGTGAAATTTTGTCCTCAGATAAAACACCCATTATATGTCTAGATTTTACTAGAGGGATACTTTGTACAAAAGTCGATTGCTTAGGTACCTCTGTCCCATTCGTACTTCAACCGTAAAGCAGATGTGTTTGCATGGCTGTGTTTCGGTTTGAAGGGTGGGATATGGCGTGAATTTACTGAGTACAGAGGAATAACACCTGAGTCCTCAGGAATGGCAACGCATGGGTGGTATCATGGGCGAAACAGTATACTCTGTTATGTCCATGGTACTGCTCATGTCTATAGGCGGTGGTTACCACTTTCCATCAGGTGGGCCGTCAGCTTGTTTGCCATTCTAAGTTGTATAAAAAAAAATCTTCATATTAATTAGAAAAAAAAATACTATTAATACATACCCATATTACCATATTTTCCAACTATACTAGATATATTAACAATCGATCCTGGCAATGATGCGTCAGTCAATGCTTTAGCACAGGCTTGCATCACCAGGAATGTACCCTGAAAAAAGATGCCTTAAACTATACTAATTGTCAAGTGATATTTTTAATAGATTTTAAGCAGTGTAAAAATTTATTGTTTTAATTTGAGCAAACATTTTTCATTAAATTATATTTTCATATTAATAGGAAAATATTTTGTCATGTTTTAAATAAAAAAGAGTAGGTATATATTTTTTTCTTTTATTTATTTTTAAGACAAGCATAAAGCATGCATTTTGTCATCCACACGTTCTATCTACATCTCTGTGATCTTATCACTCACTTCGTTTGTAAGAAGTTACTTTTTGTCTAAGAAAAACAGAGGGCCTACCATTAAATATTTTCCGAAATTTCGGGGACGAATGAAACAGAAATTTGATGTTAAAATTACAATTATGTATTATGCAAAAATTTAAACGGCATGTATTAACATACCGTTTAATTTTTTTAAAAATATTAAAATATCGTTCCTCTGGACTATTATGATAGGATTTATGATGAATGAAATGTTAAGCTCCATTTACTGGGTCGATTTCAGTACGAACAAAAACACGAAATTGAGCCCGAAAATTCGGAATTTCATTTCATAGTAGACCACCAGATTTTTGTAAGAAATATTTATGTAAATTAAATATTTAAGTAAAACAATAGACACTTGAATCAAACATGTTTAGCATTTTTCCAACTAATGAATGCAAATTTTAAGAAACACATATTATTGTCCTTACACAATAACAAGTTTTTTTTAATCTTTAAAGCAGCCAAATTTCCATAAATTTTGTTTCTTTTTTTATAGAAAAATCAATCTTATTAACACACAATAGGTTTGATTTACCTTTAAATTGACATCGAGAACTCTGCTGTAGTCTTCTTCAGACATTTTCAAAAGCCAATTGTCTCTAGTAATGCCGGCAGAATTCACAACTATAGTTGGTGGAACTTTATACTGTTTCAGAGTAGTTTGCACTAATTTCTGTACAGCATTAGAATCAGATACATCTAGTTCAACCGCACTATGGTCTCCTACAGCTGAAATGTAATCAGTGCTGTTTTTTTATATAAATTTTTTATTACACATTTCCAACAAAGGTTTTTTCAGAATCAGTAATATGCATTCAATGGAAGTAGGGTTACTATTCCATTAGCAACCTATAAAAAAACCAATTTTTAATGAGATAATAGTATGGTAACCCCGTCTGCGCTATTGGTATACACTGGCGGGGTACCAGTGAGGGATGACGGATGAAGATGAAAGTAGGTCACTTAGCCCATCCTGATGAATTAAACTAGAATTAGTCACGATGGTTTCCAGGGGGAACCATGTGGAGGTCGACTTGACAGGGTATATTGCTAGTAATAGGGCTATTTGACCCCATTACTAACAATCCCTTTCCCCCCAATAAAAAAAAAACTAGTTAGGTACTATCAGACTAGCTATTTGTCATCTCAGTAGCATAATAAAAATAGTTTCTAGAAACATTTTTTATAGTTATACTATGGATATAAAAATCAACACTGCAAGGGGGAAGGGGATCTTGCCATCTCTTAGTCGCCTCTTACGACACCCATGGACTAGAAAGTGGTGGCCTATTCTATACTTGGACTACACAAAATAATATACTAAATAAAATAAAAAGTATTACCATTAGCTCCGCTTGCTAATGCAGTATGGGTTTTGATGGTCTCGACAGCACTTTCATAGTTTCTATCTGCCGCTATGACCGTAGCACCTTCCCGAGAGAGCACCTGACATGCTGCACGGCCAATGCCAGAGCCAGCGCCTATAATAAACACATTTTCCGATATATATTTGTTTTGTGCATGTAAAAGAAAATTAATTTTAAAGAAGGAATAAGTTGAACCAAAATATAAGTGTTTGGTGACTAAAAATAACAAAAATATAAAAAAAAATTGTAAATATATTATATATTTTTTTTAATACAATCAATGTTTTTCCTTAACCTTATTCATTCACTGACATTAAGAATATGAAAATCAATTTATAACACCTCAATCAATCATAATAAAATTTAGCATATATATATATAGTATTTATATTTACAAGTATAATAAATTACATATACTTAAATACTTAGCACATTTAAAACTGTAAATTCCATTAATTGTTTCATACATAGGTTTAATTCAAATCTAAAATATTTTTATGGTTATAGGTCTAAGTTTAAGATAAGCAATACTGGACAACCTGAATTTGTTTCTGTACACTTTTGAAACAATAAAATAATGTATGTATGTATATATATAATATTATAACCCACCAAAATAATTTACTGAGTTCTAGAAGGTGCATATTAATTCTTATATGTAAATAAATTATAAAATAAAAAAATAGGTAGATCTTCACAAAATTACAGTGAACTAGTTCTGGATATTTTGAAATCTAAAACACCATAGCCAATTTCAGTCCTAAACCACCCATCCATATGTTTACTACATTAAAATATTAATGTAATGTATGAATTAAACACTTACCAGTTACCAGAGCCAATCTTCCAGCTACTATACCAGTAGACATATTATTATTTTTATCTCAATGCAAGAGAATTAGGTATTTACTTAACTATATCTCCAGCTGCTGTAAGATGAATAAGTAAAAAATAAAAACACGATCAACTTTTGACTTTGAACTCTTATCAGTTTATCAGCAGCTTATCACTTGGTTTGCAAGATTGGTACGTTCTACTTATACTCTGCACTTTATAGCACCGTGTCAATGATAGCTCAGTAAAACCATTTACAAAAATACTTCATTTTAGGAAAATATAAAGGATGACCTTAGGTTATATAGATAGATTCCCTATAAATATTAAACTCTTCGAAAAAAGCGGGTCAAGTCTTTCTTAAGTTGTGCGTAATAGGGTTACCCAATTAGAAATTATTACTTTAAATTAAGGTAAGTACGTGTAAGTCATATCTTAAATTTTATTAGTATTCATTATTTGGTAATATTTAGTTTTATTTATATAGTGAAACATATTATTTATTTATTGTTATATTATAAAGAATGCAGTAAATAAAACTTCATAATTTTTTGTTATTGTAAATATTTAATTAATAAAATTTTGAAGTGAACCATGTAATGAACTTTTAAAACGGACAGATAATATCACTGAAAGTGACAGCCATTTTGATTTTTTTTTTTTTTTTACTTTACCGATTTCTTTTATAATAATAGACATAAATCTACATATAATAAACATCTATCGGTGTCAGAATTAGTGAAAATGAAAACAATTTAAATTCAATGCAGGTCTTTTTAAATACCTGCTTATGAGAATGAGCTGAGCAATTGTAATTAAGTTTAAATGAAATTATGTAAAAATTATTGACTTTTAAGTTTTTTTTTTTTTATAAAAGTGACAGCCATTTTGATTAATTCTGATACAGGACGTATGTTTGAAATGTATAGGTTTATATTATATATAGTACAATTTTGAAAGCAATTAATAAAAAAAATTACGGCCATTCTTTATAAACAGTATGTGTATGAATATTATATTTATATTATGTAAAAAAATAGTATAATACAAATAATAATTAAAAAAAAATCTTATTTTGGAAATTTTAATTTAGTTATGGGGAATTTTTTCGCATACATGCAACACGATAAAATGGCGCGAATTCTCTTAAAATTTAAATATTTATAATTGTATTTATGCTTAAAATTCAAGATACTTACCAGTTATAAGAGATTTTATTAATTCTATTTTTTGTTTTATAATTTATGTATCTTTATTAAAAAGGTATTAAGGTGCAATAACTCTATTTATGCAATAATTAAATATAGACACGTACGCAAAGATAATTCGTGTACGAAAGTAGCTAATTTAACAATTAGCTGATTAAAAGTTGACCTGTTTTTAAGACTCGCCACTTTACCTATATAAGCCAAGGTTATGATTGTTAGAGGACTTTAAAAATAATGAACTCAATATGTAGTACTTATGTACCTAAATACAATAAAATAGAAAAATTTTAGCTGTAACACGCACAGTGACGTAACGAGAATTAAAACATATGTAATTTACCATTAGAACCAAGTTTAGGAAGGGAATTTTCACCTAGTCAAATATTAAATATTCGATCCTAGTCAAGTATTCGTAACCTAAAATTGAAAATTAAAATTTTGAATTTTTTATTTCGTTCTATTTAATCAAGTACAATTTTTGCTTTTAATTTTTATATACTTATTATACTCCATAGTTGACATTTTCACAATATTTTCGATCGATTTTGCTTACACTTTTGCAATCAATAGGGTTTATTCCCGTATTATTATTGGGTCCATACTAATTTTATTGCCTTAAAGGTAATTTAAGTGGAAAGTTTTATTCCTGTATTAATTTTGTCATGGTGCAGAGATTGATCTTTTATAACACGAGTTGTATCTCGTGGCTTCTTTCGCGATTATATTATGACGTTGAATAGTTTATAATCTTCCTTAAGAAATTAGGTGTCAAGTTCAAAAAGAAGTTTCCAAGTCTGACTGATAATTCCATAGATTAATGCATTCAAATAAACTCTTCCACTATATTAGATTTGTATAGATAAAAAACCACAGGAAAATACAAAAATTCTCAACTATAAAAAATTTAAATATTTATTGGTATTAATACATAATTTTCGAAATTTCTTCATATCTATAAATTCAGTCTGTACAATATGTTTAGTTAGGTTATATATAAATGTTAACCTTAGTGCCTTTAAGGTTGTATTCTATGTATCATTTATCACTAACAAAGTAGGGATACAACCAAAATCCCCTAAAAATAATAATTATTTTGTTCTGGTAACAATCAAGTTAGGTAATTTAAACATGTGAACATTTTTTTTATGCAACTTATCCAATTCTTATCTAATTCTACTTATTTTATCCTAAAAATAGTCATTTATCCATAAAGGCTTGGAGATCCAAAAACAAATACATTGTATTTTAATAAAAATAAAATTTTAAATCGTAAAATCTCTTACACTTGCACTAATTAAAAATCATATTATATAAAACCATACTGAGTACAAAACATAAAGTCTGCAACAAATATAAAGGTCCAACAGAAAATTAACATTTAGTAACAGTATAGATATGAGTATCTATTAAGGTATTCTATGATATAGTTACCCCAATATAAAACAGACATATTTTGTACAATATATAAAATTCTATTATACGTTGAGGTACAGAGAACTATCTCATATGGGGGAACAGTAGCAAAAGTATTTAAATGACAAAACTGCATGGATTTGAATTTTGTATTAATGTGAATTGTATTGTAAATGTAATTATTGCATTTTTTCTTAAATCAATATTATTTTCTATAGTAATTATTATAATTATAGACTGACGTATCATAAGTATCTGTAACAGATGTATATGAATAAAGATCATTGATTGATTGATTGATTGATTATCCAGCTGTAAGCTATAAATAACATGTTCTACAATAGTGCTAGAGTAACAAATGGATAAAATGAATTTAATAGTTACTGATGAAGTGTGCAGAGTTGAAAAATTTAATATCTTTATTTACTATTTAATTCATGTGGCGTATCTATAATTACTTTGGGATTACATATCTGTAGTGTCAAAAACAAAGTAGACAGGACATCACCTTTTTGTCAATGGTCTTTTTGTATAAAGAGTAAACCACCATCCTCAAACATCATAATTCATAATAATGATATTAAAGATAGCTTTAATTATATGTTACTATCAAATCACTGTTTTATATTTTTTCTTTTGAAAAAATGCACCATTAAAATGTAGAAGTTTTGCTTTCCTTGTAAAGAAGTAATCCTTCAAACTATACCCTGTTGTGTTAACTTTTGTGATATACTTACACAGAAACAGGTCTTCTGACCTTTACACCCATAATCACACAGATTATAATTATAGAGTTGCTATTTGTAAAACCACCAAATTGAGACAAGAAACTCATAAACCTGAGATTTTTTAGATAAAAAATCAGGTAATCTGATATTAGTTTTCATAAGCCATTCTAGTGTGATAACTTCAGTTAAGAAACTACTCTGTTCAAGTAAATCCTGATGAATTTTCAAATGAGGACAGTATAGTAAACAAATGGCAACCCTACTTTAATAAAAACACATGTATAATTAACATTGTGGCCAACATTACACCAAATGTGTAATGTTATTTGTAGGATGTGATCTATCACAAAGTAAAACAAAAACTATAAACTGCTTGTTACAAGCAATTTATGTCTCATCAATGGTTTGTTATGTACAATGATTATTGTCTTAATAACCTAATTAATAAATAAATTATCTACAATAGTACAGGTTTAAATAATATCCATAGCCTTTCAAATTCTGCCCTATATTGCTCCACCAATTCCATTTGTGAAGTTACTGCCACATCTTCCCAATTACCGCACAATGCTTGATTGGTCCAATTCAGGGACCCCATTATGACTAACGGTGTCGTCATATCATCATCATTTAACGTGTCAATTAAAACAAACTTATGATGCATCAGATTAGTTGACTTCATCCAACGAACTGGTATCCCTTGTTTCTCCAATCTTCTTACATTTGAGCCAGAACAATATGCCATATCGGCATCAATTATTAACCTAATCTTAACACCCCTATAATGCATCTTAAGAACTGCATTCGTTAAATCCAAATTAGTCAGAACATACATACAAATGTCCAAACTATGTCGAGGAGTATTTAAGTAGTATAACAACCTGTCCATACTTTTCGATATCATGCAGCGCGAATATTTGCTTTTCTTCAACTCGCCAGTGCCATTAGAGAACATTATAACTTCGTGAATTTCTCGTCTCATATTTCTCTTCTTTTTAAAATATTTATATGCCAGATGTGAAACAAAAGCCAGAGAAATGCTCATTAGTAACAAGTTTTTGTAATATTTAGATAACATTTTTTAGTAATAGTTTTATTATAAAACTTAAGGAATAACTGTTTTTTTTTTTTAATACGAATAACTTTCAAAACATTCAGTATGTAAACACGATTGGTTAACGATTTGCTCTTCGGTGACAATGACATTGATTAAGGTGACATTTAGTTGTGACTTTGAGTCTTGAGGTGGCAGTGTTGCCAGGCCTGTCTAGTTAAAAACTAAAATTGACCAATGTACTTAATGTTTTCCAAAAGTTTTTTCTTCAAAATATTATTTTTGTTTATTCTAAACAACAAACTGTAGTTTCTTTTGTAATGAATAATATATAACAAAATAATCGAAGCATCTCGAAATATAAAAATATTTTTTTTCATACTACTTAGAATGACAAACAAGCTGATGGTCCACATGATGGAAAGTGGTAACCGTCGCCTATAGACATGAGCAGTACCATGGACATAACAGAGTATAACAGTATTGTTATGCCCATGATACCCCCATGCGTTGCCATACCCGAGGACTTAGGTGTTATTCCTTTGTACCTTGTAAATTCACGCCATATCCACCCTTCAAACCGAAACACAGCCATGCAAACACAACTGCTTCACGGTTGAAACACGAATGGGACAGAGGTACCCAATCAATCGACTTTTGTACAAAGTCTCCCTCTGAATTCTAGATATTAACAATATCGTATTATTATTAATGTTACTTTCTCTAAAGAAGTAGGTCCATATAACATAAATAGAATTAGTTAAAAAAATAATATAGAATTAATTCATGATGTGATTAACGGTTGACAGTTTTATTATTTTCTCAGTTATTAGATGATATGATAATATATGCATGACATAATTTTCTGTTAGTTCATTAGTAAACCCACTGCACTAACACTGGTTGAAGATTCTGTATGAACTATGATATTGTAAATCGTTTGTGGACTGTGACAATCGCTTACCTGCGCATCAGATAGACTGTGTTTGATTGCCCTACTAGTTTTATTAAAAAAAACTGATCAAATGTAAATGAAACTCATATGTCGAAGGATCCCTACATAAATATATTAATATGAGATAAAATGACCTTTATTGCAATTATCATGTATACGAAATAAACATATGTAGGGTACATCCCGTTGACCTAGTACCATGAAAGTTGACAAGAAGCAGTGTTATACAGTACAAGTAAAGAAGAAAATCCGAAACTGTAAATTTGTAGTTCCATTTAAAAAAAATATTAAACATTTTTTTCTATTATAATTCATATGAAATCCTCGGGGCGCCAATCCGACTTGGCCAACTTTATTTGCTTTTTATTTTTGCTAAAATTAAAGATGTTAACATATATATCTACTCAAAATCAGGTATGTGTCTTTAAGAACATGATATATTATTTTAAAATTACAAATATAGTTAGGTAAGCTTTCAAAGTACTAGATATATCGCTACATGTTGTTATCCGCTGAAATTCACCTTTACTCTTTCTCAATATTTTTAAAATGTATAAAAAAGGGTTTTGAAATAAAACATGATTTATGTATACGGCATCTTATATTAACCATATGTACATATTCTGTTCTTATATCTCATAAAGTTATATTATTAATACTAAAATCATGAGGTCTCAGTCTTAAATTCAGATTGTAAGAACTGTGATGCGCCGGCTGCAATGGACTACTGTATCCACTAATTAACGCACAAGATCCATATCCATTTTCAGTTGTTCCATTATAACTGACCATACTTTGTCCCATCAAACTGTTTGTATTAGACATATACTGTCTATTTCCCACGTTCTGCATCATCAAAGAATAATCATTTTGGTAAAGTCCAGAATTTGTGATAGGTATTCCAAGGTTCAAATTCAAATTGTTCGTTTGGAAGTGATGAAGCCAAGGTTCCTTCGTGTTTCGTGTGAAATCTTGCCTCGTGTCCATTTGATGAGGTATTCCTATAGGAACTGGAATTGGTTCTGGAGAATTCTGGCTTGCTGAGTTTCTGTGATTAGAAAGCGCAGATCTTTCGTTTCTGCGAAATTTTGCGCGTCTATTTTGGAACCAAACCTATAAAAAAAGGATATATTATCAGTATCAACAGGCGTTCATGGGCAACAGTAGTCGCCAATATGGGGATCAGTTGGGCCGTATGCTAGTTTGCCCCCTCAGCGGTATAAAAAAAAAACCGACTACATTCGATTTTTTTTAGACGTGTGGAGATTACTATTATTACTATAAATTTTACATAATAGATATCTATTTAACGAACATACAGAGCTTTCTCTTCTTTCCCATGAGATATAAGTATCTGCTTATCTAATAAACGGCACCAGAGGAAGACTTTGTAAAGTCGTCTGCTTGGGTACCTCTGTCCCAATCGTATTTCTACTTTGAAGCAATTGTGTTTGCATGCCTGTGTTTCAGTTTAAAAGAAAGGATATAGCAATGAAATTACAGAGTACAGAGGCATAACCCCTTAGTTCTTAGGAACGTATCTTGGTCAGCACAGTGTACTCTGTTAATCCATGGTACATGTCTATAGATGAAGTTTAGCACTTTCCATTATGGAGCCGTCTGCTTGTTCGCCATTCCGAATTGAGTAAAAAAGGTCGCCTTATTTACAAACTTTCAAATTTAAAACATTAATATTATGTACATAAATGATATATAGAAATTTTATTAATTTAACATACCTGTACTCTTGCTTCGGTCAAATTAACTCTAGAAGCCAAGTCTTCTCTCACAAAAGCATCTGGATAATGCGTTTTTTCGAAAACTTTCTCAAGAGCTGCCAATTGTTGACTCGTGAAAGTGGTTCTATTCCGCCTAGGTTTCTTCCTGTCATCTCCTTTCCCTTCTCTCTCTTCCTCTGATTCTTTCTGTGCTTCCTTCTCTTTGACAGCCTTCGCATCATCGTATTTCCTTCTCATGTCCTCATAAGCTAAGTACTGAACCGGTTTAATATACTGCCGTTGGAGGTCTTTGGGGTACCAGGCTAAATCATTTTGGTATGTGGGCTCATAATTGCTATTCATTTGTCGACCTGCTGTCAAATGATGAAGTCTTAGTAAGCTGTCTTCATGGCACTTTATCATTTGGAAAAGGTTGTGATTCTCCGAATAGTTTGTTGTATTTACGTTATAGTTTATCTGATGCTGTTTAGTTTCGTAGTTATTTGGGATTGTTTCTTGCCTTCCCTTGTGGATCTCTGTGAACAATGGATTTCTTTTATCAACTTGTATCTAGTGGCAAATAAATTAACAGGCTGATGATCCAACTAATAATAGTGTTCGCGACATTGTAATCATTTGTATAGTTATAGCGATATTTTATAGTTATTTGTTAGCATAAATCATTAGTTTTTTAATCGTTTTAAATTGTTAATTTTAATAGATTTTTATAATGTATAAATAAAACATTTTATTATGTCTTATCATTAGGTATATTGTAAAAATTCTGTTATAACGCCGAAATACATTAGTGACAATCGTGGTAACCTTCATGAGTTGCCATCCAATTAAGGATTAATATGTTATGCCTTCAAAATGCCTAAAACAACTAGAAAAACCTGAACCAGCGGCTGTCCACGCTGGCGACCGTTCAAAAACACGAACTTTTGTATAACAAATATTCTGTTTGATTGACAATCTTCATGAGTTGCCTTCCCTAAGGATTAATATGTTATGCCTTTAAATTATAACAGAGTAGAATGTGAAAACCCCGGCTGTTGCGACAAAAAAAATTGATTTCAAACCAAAAATTTCACATATTGTCGAAAAAATATTACACTGCTCCCATGCTACTGCCATGTGCCCCGGCATAGAATGGGCCGCCCCTACCTTTCCCGTGGGTGTCGTAAGAGGCGATTAAGGGAGGGCGAGGGATGGACAACAGCGTCTCTCTTAAAACATCTCTAAAAGCCTAAATGCAGTTGCCCACCCGCCTACCAAGCGTGGCAACTACTGGCAAAACTCCTCTTATGGGAAAGGCCTATGTCCAGCAGTGGACAGTTAACGGCTGAAATAATAAAAATAAGAAAAAAAAAATTAAATCATAATCACATACTTTTAAGGCATAAATAGTTACTACTATAGTAACCAGCAGTGAGCAAATATAACTTGAAGACTCAACTTCAGCATGTGTCATGCGTCTCACGCACCGTCGGCTCATCTGTATAGGGCATTGTATTTGGCGGCAATCGGCGCAAGCGCAACACTATCGGTTTGCAAACACGTGGGAATGGTTTGTACGACTGCAGAGATCTGGATTGCTCTGTTTTATAGTTTAGAAATATCGAGAATATATTTTCTGTCGATAGGTGTCTAATAAACAGAATGAAAAAATATGTCGAAATTGATTATGAAGGAATATGGAGTAACTTTAAAAAATCCGGTCAATTGCGAATTGAAATCACACGCCGGGAGCTCCGTACATAGAATAATATATAAATACTTGATTTATAAATAATAACCGACTTCAGAATATGCAAATGAAGCTCTCTTATATGATATCCTACTTGAACTATAAAGCCCATCAGTGTCATTAGTATTGTTGAAATGAAATATACTCGTAGCTCTGTGCCAGGTGGACGAACAAAGTCGTTTACATCGTGTCCTTTTTCCTATTTTAGATACAGAATCTTAAAAAGTTGAATTATATATTTAAAAAAAAATAACGGCTGAAAACGGGCACTTATAATTTTGTTTGTTTGACCTAGGCACAGTTAAAGAAGTATTTAACTTTTGCTGTTTTATTCGTTTTTTTTTTATGAAACCTTAGCTAACTCTCTTATTTATAAAAATCCTACGAATGTATGTTTAAAAACATTAGAATTTTTTTAAATTGAGAAATTTATGTAAAAGAAAACGTTAAAACATTTTAATAGCTAAAACAGATTTATAAGAGATTTGACGTTTTTATCAATAAGGGGATAGGTACATACTTATAGATGAACATGAAGGAATGGTCAATATAAAAGAGCGTAAGTGCGGAGATAATAGTAATTTTTTTTTTTTAATAATTTATTCACATTGGACCTCATAGAAAAAGAGGGAGACTTTGTACAAAAGTCGATTGCTTGGGTACCTCTGTCCCATTCGTGTTTTTACCGTGAAGCAGTTGTGTTTGCATGGCTGTGTTTCGGTTTGTACTGTTACTTATTGTTACTCTGTTATGTCCATGGTACTGCTCATGTCTATAGGCGACGGTTACCACTTTCCATCAGGTGGGCCGTCAGCTTGTTTGCCATACTAAGTTGTATAAAAAAAAAGAAAGTGAGGTATGTCATAATAAATTAAATAAAACATTCTCAATTCAGGACTAAAAAGAAGAGTAATGTTTATTGGGTATGTTTATTGGGTATGTTTATTGGCATGTACCTATATCCGAATGTTTGATGCAACGTGTAATATTTAAACAAGTTGATGGATTTTGAGTAATGGGTTGTCGTAAGACGTTTATCTTTAGTATTAATACTCCAATAGTAATAAATACTCCCTTTAGTACTAACTCTAATTAGTACTAAATACTTAACACTACCGTCGTGGAATTCCACGAAGGTAGTGTTGTACACTATTTATTTTATAGTGTTCTCTACGCTATAAAATGAATAGAATGAATTAACTATCATGAAAGGTACATTTAAGACTGACCCTATAGATAATTTCAGTTTTTGCTCCATATAAAATGTATAGATTGCAAAAATAATTATCAAAATTGGTCCAGAATTGACAAAGATATTAGTATACACATAATAAGGACGGATAGACGGATTTTTTTACTAAGTTTATTTCTATTATTATTTAATTTTTGTACAAGTAACGTTAAAAATTTATCTGAAAACTGTAACTAATAAAGTATATTACATACACAATAATAAAAGGGAAAATTTTGCACAAAAGTCGTCGCCATTGGTAAGTTTTTTTGTAACTCTATTTTTTTTACACTGGCCATTTGGGTACCAGTAAGTGATGATAGGTGAAGATGAAAGCAGTTGAATTGGCTCATCATGACGAATTCATTAATAATTGACCACGATGAATTCCACGGGGCATCATAGGAGCAAGTGGACAAAACTATAACCTCTTTCTTCATAAAAATATTTAACCTCTCGTAAACCTATTTTAGCTATAGACCATTTTGCCTCTTTCTTTTACGCTAAAATCAGAATTTGGAAGAAAATGTCAAATAGTGATAGTATCTATAATAATTAAAATACGTTTGTAGATTCCAATTCTTATTAATAAGGGGATAAGTTAATAGATGAATGTAGACGTACTGTACATACATGTAGACATACATACATAGATGAAAATTTTGAAGGTTTAGCCAATACATTTAAAAATAATTAAGTTTGGCTTGCAATTACCTAATATCAAGTAGTAATCGTGAGCTAAGCCACGCAACAACCAGTTTATATATGAAGAAAACACAGGAAATTCCAACTTACCTTTGTTCTGATCCATTCCATAAAATTAAAACAAAAATACTAAATTTTCTTAAGCACAGTCACTTTTCTTTAAAAATAAAAGACTTGTCCAATCCAACTCCAATCGTGAAGCAAGCGCCGCAAATAATTTCTTATTAATTCACTAACTTATTGAATTACTTTATTTAATTATATAATTCGACTAACTCGCCTAATGTGCGAACTAATGGAGTTTGTGCAGTGATCTGGCTTCTTGACTATGCCATCCCTAATGCGTGTATGGCTACAAAAAATACCTTGTAAACCTCTAAGTCCCACCCATTCTGTCTAAGAAATTTTTAATTTCGACTGTATTTGTAAATAAGCAAGTTCTAAATTTGATTACGTGGTATCGAATATTTTTTTAACATGGTTGCTATTTTATATTGCACCTTGTGACTTCGAAATAAAGTTAATAATACTTTCGGCAATTAGCAAGGGTGTATCATCTGGTTCAAATTTCGAATACTTCAAACACAAGGCGTGGCTTTCCACAGCCCGCCTGTCTAGAAAAAAAAAATGTTTTAAGAGGGAAGTGATTTCAGGCAATAATTGACACGTCAACATGTATTATTTATAGAATACCGAGTAAATAATTAATATAAAGTCTTTAAGTAATTGGATTTGAAAAGTTTGTTTTGTGGTACGGATGTGAATACGACTTTTTTACGACCGTTTCACTAAATTAAACACAAGAAATGGAAATGTGTCGAATAATCCTTAATCATTGTTTTATAATGGAAAGTAAGATACCTAAGTTTTAATTGGTGGTTTTTTTTAGCTTAGGTACTTATTTATATGAGCTTGCTACTTGGTAATGTATTAGGGTATACAGTTTTTCGTATTTTTTCTTTTAAATTTTTTATTTGACCCCTTACTCACTTCTCTTGATATGTTGGAAATAAAAAATGGTTTTCACTATTCCATATTCAATTTTATATATTCAATTCTACACGCCACCAGTTTTTTTTTTTTTTTTTTTAATATTACATGCTATGTTAGATTCGAAATATGGAAATGTGGTATGAAATGATGACAGAATATATATGTATGAAAGTGGAATGATCTCGTATCTACTGAGGGAGGTTTATATTGAGTTACTATGACATAAATACATTGTATGCAGTCTGAGAGAGGAGTTACATTACGAATTGGATGAAGCAAAAGACGTACTTATGTACAAAACTAAAGAAAAAATCCTTTAACTTTAAATCTTTCCTTTAAATCTTCTCTGCTATTTTCTCTAGAGATACGGCGTGAAGATAAATTACTGTTATTATTCACAGAGCATTATATTAAAGGCTGGCAGCATACCTGTAACGTCTCTGGTGTTGCGGATGATCATGGGCGGCGGTAGTAACGTACCATCAAGTGAGCCGTATGCTCTTTTGCCGCCTGTGTTATAAAAAAAAAAGATAATTAATTCCGATATCAGTTCATTATATATCAAATTTATTATAGTTGATGGGATTTGCATTTATTATTTGTTATTGTCTCGTCCAATAAAATTCTATGAACATCGTAAGAGTGCTGTCGCATTACATTATTGCATTTAATTAACGAGCAGGCTGTTTGCCAGCAACATACTTGTCGAGATAATACGTTGATAATTTTAGAGGGTTTTGAGCTGTAGTTGCCATCTTAGGTAGGGTTAAATGGCATTTTATTAGATATTTTAAGAAATGCTGCTAAGTGTCTCTCAGATTCGTATAGCCCTTTAACATTACGAGTATGTGTACAGCTAAATAGGTTCTTACACGAACTACGTACTATAATAGCTTATTTCAGCTTTAATAAATCAGGAATCATATCAATTGTCAATCTCTCTGTGATAACACAGAGGGCCCTGGATTGTTATAAGTTCATTGGTCTCATAAAAGAAACCAAACAACAAATATACGAGAGAACAATCTAGAATGTTGAATCTCGAGCCAATTTAGAAAAGTTCATTACTTTAACCACAATTGTGAAATATTCTGAGAATAATCTTTGTTAGTTTGCCCAAAGCAGCTATGTGGAAAATGGGATAGTTTATTAGATACCTTTCAAGTACCATCAGACAGATTGTTTGCTTATTTGCCACCTCTGTCGTATAAAAAAAAAAAAACATAATAACTATTGTTACAGCTATATTATGTAATATACTTCCTCATTTTACCACTAATAATGTTACTAGCAATGTACCGAGTCACGCTAACTCGAGTATTGACTCGAATACCTACCTAATAGATACCCAGATACTCGATATACTTACAGAATTCGGATATTCGGATACAGGAATCGAGTACTTGCGGTACTCGAATACATTTGCAATTGGTATTCGAATGCCAATTGCAAGTGTGTTATAGTTAGTTTTTGTATTTCTGTTTCATTATTTATTTTTTATTTCGTGGCTGTTCTTTTATGTATATCTATCTATGTCTATTGTTATTTATGTGATGTATGTATGTGCTGGTTGTAATACAAATAAATTATATATTAATCTATCTATTTTTCCCTTAATTATAAAGAAAAAAAAATTAATGGTTGAATATTTATTATTTTCATAAAAAGTAAGCTTTAGAAATAAATTGAAAAAATACTGAGTCACTGGTCTTAGTCCTCATACCCGTATTCGATTATTTATACAATGAGTACCAAAGTAATCGAATGGCCGACTCGGCACGTCACTAAATGTTACTTAAATTACAGGTTACAATTAAGGAAGAGTAAAAAAATCTATGTACTGTATTATTTTTTGTATGTAGATATGATGCGTTATGTTATCTGAAAGTATTTTGAACGTCTCTGATAATTCTCTTTGTAATCACTAATGTTTACTTCCGCGTTAATCGAAAAATTATAAGTGCAAAAGGTATTTGATTTTATTTTATTGAAGGGCTCTTAAGAATGTATCAAACGTACGTCAAGACAAGTAGGATTTTTCTTAGCAAAAAAAAAGGATACGATAGAGAATCCTATGGATTGTAAAAAGTATGATCAAAATCGGTTCGATTTAAATATAAAGAACTAGCTTTTATGCGTGACTTCGTCTGCGTGACTGGAATATATTCATTGAGTAGCCTGTCTATTTTTATCTCATATAAATAATAGGTATCATAACAAATTTCATTTTATTATTATTATTTCAGCCGTTAACTGTCCACTGCTGGACAAGCCTTCCCCATAAGGGGAGTTTTGCCAAAAGTTTTGCCACGCTTGGCAGGCGAGTTGGCAACCGCAGTTAGGCTTCAGAGATGTTTTAAAAGGGACGCTGCTGCACACCCCTGGCCCTCCCTTAGTCGCCTCTTACGACACCCACGGGAAAGGAAAGGGTGGTCCATTCTATGCCGGGGCACACACGGCGAAATTCATAGTGATCGGTTTAAGCGTTATAGCACTAAGAGGTAACAGACAAACAAAACCAGTTTCACATTTATAACATTATTAGAAAAAAAACACCTAATACCTAAGAAATACAGGCGAATTCAGAACGTCCTACATTTTGAAATTGCTTGAATAAATATAAAGTTTTTTTTTCATTATTCAGTCATATTCAATTATAAAGTCAATAAAAACATAATGTCATAACCATATATAATTCAATTATCGCCGTCAAAAATCATATTAACATCAAAGTTCCACGCAATCTTTAAATCTTGTAATTTCTAAAGCATCCGCTGTTCAGGCCAACTTTCCCGTGCCGTGTCGCGACGGGAATAGAACGGGCGACCCGTCGCTTTGAATTACTGTAAAATCATGAAAAACGCCTGTATGCACTGTGACAGATCGTACATTTGTAGGTATCTAACAATACTGTATATACCAAAAGCGCCACAGTGTATAGTTTAAGCAGTGCTCTAGAACCATAAAAAAAAACTTACCATCACTGCATGTTCAGATTAACTGTTCTAGAAATTTATGTAAATTTTATATTTTCGACCTAATTCAAGAAGAGGGAGGTTCTCATTTCGGTTGTATTTTTTTTATTTTTGTTACCTCATAACAGTTCTTAACCGATACAGATTTTTTATTTGAAAGGATATACTTACAGTTTAGTTCCATAAACATTGTAACAGAATCGGTTTAGTAGTTTAATTTGTAAATAATAACTGGTTTTGTCACAATTAAATTCGGTTGAAAAGTCGGAAATTGTTTTTTTGTGGGAAACAATCATTAATTATTCAATTATCCATTTAACAAAATCCTAATATTATACATGTGAAAGTAAGTTTATTTTTTTTATGGAATAGCAACTTCGTCTGCACTATCGGTATATGCTAGCGGGGCACCAGGGAGGAATGATAGGTGAGGATGAAAGCAGGCCAGATAGCCTATCGTGGCAAATTGTACTAGAATTCTAGTGCCATTTGCCGCGAATTGAAAACCATCTTGATTCATAAACCAAGATGGTTTCCAGGGAGAACCACGTGGAGGTCCCTCATTATTAACAATCCTTTTCCCCTTGTTAGTTTGTTAGTTACCCCTTTGTGCTATAACGGTTTAAATGATTGCTTAAAAGTTCGATATGCACGTATTACATATGGTAGTGTAGTCCCGATCACGCGAACGAAGTCGTGGGTAAAAGCTAGTTATTTAAATAAAAATTACCTATTCCAGTTGTTATAAAATTCAGTCAGTGGGCGCCTGTTATTAATTATTATGATATGATCTGACATTTTAATTTATTACATTTTTATCATCAGACATAATGATTTTCAATTCTTCCGATTATAGGTATTTTTCGAATAATATCTATAGGTATTATACGCTGATAAAGCATTTTTCATAAAATAAAATATACCTAAATTAAAAGGAAATATAAAAAAGTTTAAATGTGTAGCTGCCAGTAAGTCAGCTACAAGTATATATTCATGAAACCATTCATTAGCCTTATTCATTAATACATCATTATACTAGTTTTAACCCCAACTTTGTCCTCCAGACTGAGATATTTTTTTATGCAACTTAGAATGGCAAACAAACTAGTGTTACTTATTACGGTTTAGTCCTTAATAAAATTATGTCGTTGATAAATGTACTATATTGGTATTATATTATTGTAGGTAGGTACATATTGTTGCTTGCAACTTGGCCAGCTAACCTTTTTTATGCAACTTAGAATGGCAAACAAACCTGATGGAAAGTGGTAACTGTCCCCTACAGACATGAACAATACCATGGACATAATAGAGTATATTGAGGGGAAGGAATTGTTAATAATGGAGACTAAGGGCTC